CTGAGTCTGTGCCAGGCACTGGATACCCTCTCCTCTCCATGGGAACACCTGGCTGCAGGGAGTTAGGGCAGCAGGAGAGGGCAACTTTGGACACAGAGCCCAGCTGACCCTGACTGGCTGAATCCTGGGATCTGACTGCCCATTCAGCTGACACTGCCCCAGGTGCCTGGCCATGTGCCTCGTGAGGGGATATGGAGATGGAGCAGCCCAGCCGAGGAGTGACCCCTTTGCCCTGAACCCCATGGTCTCTCACCACATCAAGGCTCCAGGGCACCCACCCCTTATCTCTTCTGCCCGCTCCCCTCCACTACCACCAAGCCTGTGTCACCAAAACTCATCCATTGATCCAGGCTTAAAATAACCCCTGGCATCTGCAGCAAGCCCTGCGGGGCGGGCAGAGGAACCGAGTTCCTGCTCCTGAAGGGCACCCGCCCCGCCCCCAGCTCCCAGCGCTGGCAGCTCCAATGTGCGGGTGTCTGAGCGTGCTTGAGTGAAAGCAAGAGTGTGCATGTCCAGGGCTAGCATGACTATGAGGGACCTCCCTACACAGTGGGTATGTGTGTGCGCACACGTGTCAGCATACATGCTCCTGTGTGCACACGGCCTTCCTCCATGTTGGGCCCTCACCTTGTGCCCAGTTCTGGCTGTGGAAGGCTGGGGGCCCTGAGAGGTGTGGACAAGATGAAAATCCTGTGCTGGGAATCAGTGTCCTCATTTTAGATGTTGGGTGACCTGTTGGGACAAATCCTAATGTGTATGATAAATTATATTGTTTGCTGAGAACAATGGCAAGGAAAATCTGTCGACCCTTTCAAGTGGAAAACTGCTTGGGGCATTCTAAAGTAGCAAAGCAGGGTGTGTATATCATACACCGGTGAAAACAATTCTTTCAGCATGGGATATGTGACCTGCCCCCATGGGTCCCTCGTGGAGAACACTTTCTAGTTTGTCCGTGTTCAGTGATAAGCAGGCATCCGCTGCCTACCTAGTTTATCTTGGTTCTCTCTTTTTTTTTTTGAGACAGAGTTTCGCTCTTGTTACCTAGGCTGGAGTGCAGTGGCGCGATCTCGGCTCACTGCAACCTCCACCTCCTGGGTTCAGGCAATTCTCCTGCCTCTGCCTCCTGAGTAGCTGGGACTACAGGCGCGCACCACCATGCCCAGCTAATTTTTGTATTTTTAGTAGAGACGGGGTTTCACCTTGTTGACCAGGATGGTCTCGATCTCTTGACCTTGTGATCCACCCGCCTCGGCCTCCTAAAGTGCTGGGATTATAGGCGTGAGCCACCGCACCCAGCCTATCTTGGTTCTATGAGAAAACACAGAACACCTGTTGGTTAATAATAATCACCTGTTCAGAGAGAATAAATACGTGGGTCAGCAGCTGCTAGAGGCTCTCAACCTGGAATGCTGTCGGCCTCTGAGGCTCTCAGCTTGGAAGGCTGTTGGTCCCCGGATAGTCCCACTTTGCTGTTCTCTCTGGGTGTCTGTTTCTTAATGCCTTCAGCATCACCTGGGTGGGGTCTCTATGGCCGAGCTGGTCTCAGTAATGCCCAGTTTGCCAGCTCTGCTGAGTCCTAAGAAAGGAGGTTTGGGATTTCCTAGAGAGAAACTTGAGACTCAGAGAGGGGAAGTGACTTGCTGTGACCAGCACACAGCCAGGAAGGGCAGGGTCTGACCTGGAACCTGCACTATGAGCCCTGAATCCACATTCTGGCCTGTTCAGCACACCCGGGAAGCACTCCTACCCCTCAACAGGGCCCTTGCCAATGCCTGACCCAGGCACACCTGCCCCCTGCCTGGACACACAGGCTAGCCTCTCTTCCTTGAATGCCCTTTCCAGCCCCACATGCCCAGCGCTTTTACATATTATTTATTTTATTTTACTTTATTGTTTTGAGATGGAGGCTCAGTCTATCACCCAGGCTGGAGTGCAATGGCACGATCTAGGCTCACTGTAATCTCCTCTTCCGAGGTTTGAGATTCTCCTGCCTCAACCTCCCCAGTAGCTGGGATTACAGGTGCCCGCCACCACACCCAGCTAATTTCCATATTTTAGTAGAGACAGGGTTTCACCATATTGGTAGGGAACTCCTGACCTCAGGTGATTCGCCTGCCTCGGCCTCCCAAAGTTCTGGGATTACAGGTGTGAGCCATCACGCCTGGCTTAATTTTTGTATTTTTAGTAGAGACAGGGTTTCACCATGTTGGCAGGGCTGGTCTCCAACTCCTGACCTCAAGTGATCAGCCCACTTAGGCCTCCCAAAGTGCTGGGATTACAGGTGGTAGCCACTGCGCCCCGCTTTTAATCCTTTACTTTGGAGTCAGGCTGACTGGGTTGGAATTCCCACTCTCCAGGTCCATTCAACGTTTCCAGGCCTCAGTTTTGTCATCTGCAAGATGGGCTGCCGGCATCTCCGCAGGGTTACAGGGAGAAGCAGTGGACCCCAGACAGGAAACAGCCAGGTACATGTGGCTTTGTGGGAGCACCCACTGAAGCCAGGCTGAGAAGACTGTGACCGCGGATGACACCCACGAGTCTCCAAGGCTTCATTCCTAAGCTAATTTCACTTCTGTTTCTTCAGTGATGGAGTTATCCAAGAAGCAAAGGTTCTTGGGGACTCTGGAGTCCCTGCTGGTGCAAATGACGGTACCAGGAGGGAGTCTGGAGGGAGGGCCCACGGCTGTCTTTTTCTCCCGCGAGGCAACTCTGACTCAGGCTCCAGCTGCCCGTGGGAGGGAGGGGGCGACCAGGCTCCTGAGGCTGGAAGCTAGGGCTTAGCTCCCTGTCCCGTTGCCCCCAACACTCTCCCCGACTTGCACCCCGCCCTGCTTCAGGGAGTCGCACTCCAGCTGTCACAGGTAGTCCCTCTGCCTGAACGCCCCCGCGGGCTCCCCCTTAAGGACCCTCCAAAGCCCTCATTGAATGTGCGAATCTGGAGCGGACACCGAGACCATAGCGCGGGAACCAAGAGAGGACCGAGCTCTGCGGAGGCCACAGCGCGTGCACGAGGATAGGTGCGCCCTCCTCGCCAGGCCCCCAGTTCCTGGAGAGCAGTTTCGTGCAGAGGAGCCCTGCACCCCCTCCCCTGCGCCTCACCCTTGAGTTAGGGCCGTGGGCCGCATTCAAGGCCCCCTGGTTCCGGATGCGCGTGAGGACACAGATTCCCGAGGGTGCAGAAGTCAAAGCCCGAAGTAGGTGCCCTAGGCCTTGGTCTCGCGCGTTATCCCATCCCACGCGTTTTCCTGGCTCCTAGGCCTTGACCCCACCCCTTTCTAACCACCAACAGGCTTGGGGTCCTTCAGCCCCGCCTCTCTTGTTGACCTCGCCCCAGCCCCACGCCCAAATAGCCCCTGGCCGGTGGTGGCCCGGCTGACAGCAGAAGCCTCGCAGAGGCTCTCCTGCCCCAAAGTCGCTGGATTCAAGCCCGGATCCCAGATTTTCTGCAGCCTAGTGGAGGGGAGAGATGCCCAGGGTTCCTCTGGGTCCCGGGACCTCAGTAGCGTCCTTCCCCTGCCCAATGCCAACCACTGAGCGCCCCTCGGAGTCCCAGGAGGAAAGCTTAGGGGCGGGGAACTGGCATCTCTTTCCTCATGATTGTGCCCCACTCTGCCCGAGATTGGGGGCCGTCGTTTCTACTGTACCCCCATCTCCCCACTCCCAGGTCATGAGGGAAGGACCAGGCCTGCTCCCACCTCCCTGCTGGGAGCGTTCCCTGGCGGCCATGGCAGGGGCCCCTCTGTCCCTACGTGTCACATGACCTCTTCAATCACCAAGGACAGCTGGCCAATCCTCAAGTGTCCATTTTGCAGATGGGGAGAAGGTCCAGAGACCTGAGGCCCAGGTAGATGCTACCAGCTTGTAGGGGTAATGCTGTCCCTTCTGAGACGGGTAGGTGAGGGGTCAGGCCTTTCTCCCTGGCCTCACCAGCTGGGCCTCCCCAACCTCCCACACACACCCAGAGCCCCCAGCCTCTGGCTTCCAGGCAGGAAGTGAAAGGGGCCTGCAGGAAGCCCCAGGAGGAAGCGATACTTAAGCCAGTCCTGCCCCCACTGGCCAGGGCCCTGGGGACCTGGTTGGAATCTGACCCTCCTTCAGGAAAAGCTGGCCTGAAACACAGGCTCAGGGAGGGGCCTTTTCCCTTCAGTTCCCACCACAAAAAACGGTCCTTCCAGAGTCTACCTGGGATCCCTCTTACCAAAAAGAGACTGGTTGGGGAGAAAATATTTGAGTGGTGATGAAACCAAGGGGTGGGGCCTGGCATCCCTCCGGAGTCCTCCACTTCCAAGGAGGGGTCCGGGCCCATGACCTTCTGCTGGGCAGGCATGCCAGGCAGGGGCAGGAACCCAGGGTTTGCCCAGCTCCACCACCCACCTGTTGTATCTTGGGCCGGATTCCTTTACCTCACAGGGCCTCTCTTTTCGTACCTGCAAACTGAACCATATAATTCCTGCTCATGGATGTGAAATGGTCCAGATTTTCAGGAGAAAAATTGGACCCACAGGGACCTTTGAAAAGGTCAAGGCCTGGCCAGGTGCCGTGGCTCACGCCTGTAATACCAGCACTTTGGGAGGCCAAAGCAGAAGGATCACCTGAGGTCAGGAGTTGAAGACCAGCCTGGCCAACATGGCCAAACACCTTCTTTACTAAAAATAGGAAAATTAGCTGGGGGTGGTGGCCCGGGCCTGTAGTCCCAGCTACTTGGGAGGCTGAGGCAGGAGAATCGCTTGAACCCGGGAGGTAGAGGTGGCACCACTGCATTCCGGCCTGAGTAACAGAGCAAGACTCTGTCCCCACTAAAAAAAAAAAAAGTCAAGGCCTTTGGTGCAACAACTGCTGGGAATCGGACTCCTGTACAGGCCCATGTGGAAGGAAGGAGGCACTCACAGCCTCAACAGCCAAAACCAAAATGGCCAAATGCCCGGATGGAAAACCTTACCATGTTGAAAGCCTTATTGTGATTGTAAAGTCTTTAAAGAGAAACTTAACAAATATTAATATGATGGTCAAGACATGAATTTAATGTATAGAATGATTTCAATTATGTAGAAAAACACACACTGCAGGCTTGGGGTTACTGGACATGGGTCATTTCTTCCCTGACTACATCATGGGTTCCCATCCAGAACTTGCAGATTGTCTACAAAATGCATATCTTCATTTTTTTATTAAAAAATTTTAAAGCAGGGGCCAGGTGCAGTGGCTCAGGCCTGTAATCCCAGCACTTTGGGAAGCCAAGGTGGGCAGATCACAAGGTCAAGAGATCGAGGTTGCAGTGAGCTGAGATCACACCACTGCACTCCAGCCTGGAATGCAAAAAACAAAAAAAAGCACAAACACCCCACCCCCCTCCTCCAGGTGCTCTTATGAAGATCAAATGAGGTATCAATATGATGGCTCTGGGTCTCAGTCTCCTTATCTGTGAAATGCATATGAGAATTATCTAAGGCTCCCTCCTCCTGTCCTCCTCTGGGGGCCACAGGCCAGGAGGAGAACTTTGCATCCAACCCCTCATTTTTCAGAAGAAAAAACTGAGAACTCGGGAAACTTCCTATCGGCCAGAGGGTCCGGCTGGGACAGAGAGATCCCCAAGGTTTGCATGTCTGGGCCCCAGAGGGGTTTCACCCACACTCTGGGTTTTCACCTGCTGAGCTAACCCCAGATATAGCCAAAAATGGGGTAGGAGAGGGGGTGGGCAGAGGAATATGATGTGGGAGAGATGGGGTGTCCAGGAGAAGATGGGGTGGGGGAGGTGGGGTATCTAGGGAAGAAGAAGTGAGAGATGCAGTGGCCAGTAGCAGCTTGGACTCCCCGATCCTCAGATGGAGGGGGAGTGTAGAGCTGGGTCCATGTGGGCCTGACCCCACCAGCCCTCTCCCACACTTGCTTATCATTTGACCTCACCCTGTCACCTGGCTCCCTGGGGGCAGGGGCATCTGAGGTGGGTTCACGGAGCAAGTAGCCAGGCAGAGACCTGGATGTGATTGACCACTGGCCACTGTCTTCTGAGCTGGGCACAAAACGGGCACTTAGGACAGCAAGCACTGAGTCCACAGGCCTGGCAAGGGACAGGAGGGGCAGGGGTCTACAGGTGACTCCGGTGGCTGCTCAGGAGAGGCAGGCAGAAAACATCTGCTGCAGGAACAGAACGTGCCCAGGGCCCAGCAGGGAAAACGGTACTCAGAACTCCGTCTTCTGACTCCCTTCCAAAGATGCTAACCTGCAACAGCTTCGAAGGAAGCTGCCCAGGGCGGAGGCCGGGTCAGGAGGTCTAACTCTGTGCAGGAGGGCAGGCAGGGGGTGGCAGGCTGTGCACAGTGTCATCCAGGACTGGAAAGAGACGGCCTTGTCCCCAGACCCCAAAACAAGGTACATCATTGTAAGAGGAGGGAGCAGCTTTCACTGTGACGGTAGGTGACCCGGGGGCTGGCACAGAATGACCAAATGATCCCAGCACTGGGGGGGCCGGTGCTTCAGGGTAACAAGCCAGAGAGAGAAGGGAGTTCAAGGGACCTCACGTCCACCCGGTTCAAGGTCACAGGCCTGTCTTGGCCTCTGCACAAAGGAGTCTCCTCTTGGTCCCGGCAATGCCCTGTGTATGGCTGAATGTGCTGTGCCTTGGAGCAGCTGGAACCCCAAGTAGACCCTGAGAGAGCTGCCTGCCAGCATGTTCCTCAGCTCGAGTTTGGAGCCCAGCCCTGGAGGCCGCACACTTCCTCCCAAGTGCAGGTTTGTGGCTCTGGAAGCTCCCCCTGGGGTCAAAATGGCATCTTAGGTTTTGGCAGATTGGTTCAGTCTCAGGGTCGACCCTGGGATACAGCTACCTGAGAATTAGCAAAATCCAGCTCAAGCTTTTCTTCTTTGTTATTTCTTAAAATAATCTTGTACTAAAGCAAGCAAACCCATGAATTGGTTACTTTTGCCGTTTGCATCAGTTTAAAAGCAGGACGGCTCTGAGGACAGGTATTAAAGAAATACAGGCCAGGCCTGTGGCTCACGCCTATAATCCTAGCCCTTTGGGGAGGATGGCCTGGACAACATATCAAGATCCTGTCTTAAAAAAAAAAAAAAATCAGCTGGGCAAGGTGGAGCACCTGTAGTTCCAGCTACTCAGGAAGCTGAAGCAGAAAGATCACTTGAGCCCAGGCTGCAATGAGCCAAGGTCCCATCACTGCACTCCATCCTGCGTGATAGAGCAAGACCCTGTCTAAAAAAAGACCAGAGCCGGGCATGGTGGCTCAAGCCTGTAATCCCAGCACTTTGGGAGGCCCTGAGGCGGGTGGATCATGAGGTCAACCTGGTCAACATGGTGAAACCCCGTCTCTATAAAAAATACAAAAATTAGCTGGGCGTGGTGGTGCACGCCTGTAATCCCAGCTACTTGGGAGGCTGAGGTAGGAGAATCACTTGAACCAGGGAGTCAGAGGTTGCAGTGAGCTGAGATCACACCACTGCACTCCAGCCTGGCAACAGAGCAAGACTCTGTCTCAAAAAAAAAACAAAAACAGCTGGGCATGGTAGCTCATGCCTGTAATCCCAGCACTTTGTGAGGCCGAGGCGGGTGGATCACGAGGTCAAGAGATTGAAACCATCCTGGTCAACATGGTGAAACCCCATCTCTACTAAAAATACAAAAAAAACTAGCTGGGCATGGTGGCGCGCGCCTGTAATCCCAGCTACTCAGGAGGCTGAGGCAGGAGAATTGCCTGAACCCAGGAGGTGGAGGTTGTGGTGAGCCGAGATCGTGGCATTGCACTCCAGCCTGGGTAACGAGCGAAACTGTCTCAAAACAAAAAACAAACAAACAAAAAAACCAACAAAAACACACCCAACTACAACAAATTAAGTATCCTCCCACTTGGTCTTTTTTTCAGATTCATTTTGGCTTAATGGTGCCTTCCCCATTTTAAAAGAGAAGTGTCTTACTCAGAGCGCCCCAACCTTTCAAAGGCACAGGAGTTGGGCTACCACCTTCAAGGGCTGTCAGAGACGGTATGGTCTGAAGCCAAAGGCCAGCACACCAAAGTCCATGCTGGCTGAATGCTGTGGTCGGTACTGTCTGTGCTTCTGCAGGATTTAGCCTGGTCCCAGAAAGAAAGCAGGTGCATGCTGGAGTGAAGAGCTGAATTTGATTTCCAAGCCCCTGGCTGGGGGTCGGGAGGAAGGCCAGGAGGCACCTCCTGCCAGCTCTCTGCTATTATTGCTCAGGGCCAGCTGTCTTGGTGGTCACCAGTTCAGTGGAGCCCAGCTCTGTGGCTGGCACAGGGACGCTGTGGCCAGGTGGGGTGGTTCCTGGGTCTTCTCCAGGAGGAGGCCAGGCAGAAGCTGTGGCATCAGTGGTTCCTGGAGACAAAATGATGAGCTTGTCCAGGGGCTCTGGGGCTGCTGGCCGAGGGGACAGAGGCTCAGTACTGGGTCACAGACTTCCCTCCCTCCCTAGAAGCCTCCTCTGGAGGAGCAGTCCTCTGTCAAATGAAGCTCACCATAGGGCAGGGAGGGGTGGCACATGGCTGACCCTGAGTCCAGAGGCCTGGCCAGTGGGGAGTTGGCAGGGCAGGGAGTTGGGGAGCTGGGACTCAGTCTGGCAAACCCTGCAGGAACCAAGCTTCTTAGACTCCAAGAGGGCAGGACAGACTCCTCACTCAGACAGGGACCCCCTTCTCCAGACCTGTCTCTTCCTCACACTGGGGTCTGGCAGGGTAGAGCTGTTCCTGGCTCCAACCACGGGTTCAGGTGAGGGATTGTCTCGGTGCCCAGTCTGAGCTCCAAAGGGCAAACTCTTTTCCGCTCTCTGTCCTTGTCCCCCACTTAAAGCCCTTCTCTCCCCCTCTAGGGGCCATGCATCATCCCCTGGGCCGTCCCCTCGACCCCAGCCCCTGCGCCCTGCTCGGACTGATTTCCCTACACCTGGAACTCACCGGCCTCGTCTCCGTCGTCCGGGGCCTCAGACGAGGCTGCCCCGCGAAGCCGCTGCTGTCGCCGCCTCCAGCTCACCAGGCCCACCAGGACCAGCGCCAGGACCAGTACCAGGCCCAGGAGCGCGGGGGCGCCGAAGAGCAGTCTGGGCACGGGCAGCGACACCTCGCCGGCCCCCGGGCCCACCGACTCCTGAGGCTGCAGCGCCGTCCCGGGTGCAGGGCTGCTGGCTCCAGCTGCTGCGGGAGGGGACGGGGTGGGGCGAGGTTGGCCAGGGAGGGGAAGGACAGCGGGGAGGGGGGCGGTTGACAAGGGGAGGGAGAGAGAGGCCACGGCGAGGGCTACGCGGTGATCATGGGCGGGTCCAGGCCCTGCCCACAGGGTCCTCTCAGCCCTCTAAGCCCCTGGCAATCGGGGCCTCATCCTCCCCCACGGCTGCCGGCGCCACGCGCCCCGTCGGTCCCCTTTACCTGTTTTCGGTGGCGATCTGCGTAGGAGCCTACAGTCCACGCATTTACGGACCAGCAGGTCGTAGCACTCGGTCGGGACGCAGGGCGTGGGGACCGGCGCGTCCCTGCCTCGCAGGCTCCGGGGTCCTCGCCTCATGGTGCCAGTGCTGCCGCACGAGCCTTGGGGACTGAGGCTGAGTGGGGCTCCCGGGCCCTCGGGGCGGAATCGAGGGGCGGGGAGAGGGGAGCACTCCACCCTGCCCCGCCCCCGCTTGCTGGGTGGGACCACGCCCTACCGGGCCCGAGCCCCGGGCCTCTCCCACTCAGCCACTCAGCCAGCACCGCCTGGACGGGCCCTCTGCTGGGTGCTGGGATGTGGCTGGGGACAGACCAGTCTCCTCTGGGGCAGGGAGGGGGATGGGCCCTGCAGCCAGGACACACCTCTGAGTGGCTCCTCCACTCCGCCTCGCCAAGGCCGCTCCATGGCCCCGGGTGCTCCCCAGTTATCTCCACCACCCCACCTGTTTCCTCCTCTAGAGAATCCTGGTGCCATTCTGGGACAGAGCTGGTTGGGGGCATCAGACACCTGCTTTTTTTTTTTTTTTTGTAAAGGGCTCTGTTGCCCAGGCTGGAGTGCAGTGGGTGATCTTGGCTCACTACAACTTCTGCCTCCTGGGTTCAAACGATTCTCCTGCTTCAGTCTCCGGAGCAGCTGGAACTACAGGTGCACGCCACCACACCGGCTAATTTTTGTATTTTTAGAAGAGGTGAGGGTTCACCATTTTGGCCAGGCTGGTCTCGAACTCCTGACCTTAGGTGATCTGCCCACCTGGGCCTCCCAAAGTGCTGGGATTATAGGCGTGAGCCACCATCAGACACTTGTATCAGGTCCAAGTAGCAGGGGGTCTGCCCTGAAAGAATCTCACATTTGTGCCGATGGGGAAAGGCAGCCTCACAGCAAGGGCACTGGCTCATGTCATCCTGGAAAGTGGGCTGGAAGGCTTCATGGAGGAGGTGATGGTGAGGTGTTTGCCAGATGGAGTGAGGTCTACAGCACAGATGAAGGTGAAGGCCAAAGGGGAGCAAAGGCTTTGGAGACCCAAACCAGAAGTCCAGGGAGTGTTGGAACTGAAGGGTTGGACTGGTGCTTTATCTAGCACATTAGGGAGCTTGGACTGTGGCTGGGGGACACAAGGGAGCCACTGGGGCTTTGAGCAGGGAGCACCCTCATAGATCTGCATATGAGCAAGGGGCCTGTGACTGCGGTGGAGGGAGGCCCGCCCACCCCAACTCCTTTCCTCCAGGGCTATGTGACCCCCTCCGCTGACCTCCATGTCTCACTTTGGGCCCCTCCTATCTCTGCTCCCCAGTGTTTGTGGTCCCCAAGTGTCTGTCACCCCTGTCTCAGACTGAGCCTCAGATACACACACAAGCCCCCTCCGCCCTCCTAGTCACATGCAACTTATTCCGCAGGGCCAGGGCTGGAGGGGCCTCTGGGAGCTCAGGGCTCAGCAGGGAGCATGGGGTTAAGTGCCATGTGTGCCACCCAGACCCTTAAGCACTCAGGGGTCGGGGGAGCACCTTGGGAAGAGAGACTCAGGGGCAAGGGAGGGAGCTTGGGGGCAGAGGGAGACCCTGAGCAGCGGCAAGGTGGAGGCAAACCCTCCAGGCAGAACGCCGCAGGGGCTAAGGCTTGGAGAAGTAAAGGGGGAGCCCGAGCTGCTCTGAGGACAGGCATGGCCACTGCCACAGGGGATGCTGGGAGGGAGGGAGCACTAGGACTGTGGGTGGGCAGGGCACCAGGCCCCAGGCCCTGTAGAGCCTGGGGGCATCTGGGTAGGAGAGAGATTCCTAGCTGTAGCTGCAAGGGCCCCTCTCTCTGGCACTGTGGCTCAGGTTCAGGGAAGGTGGCCCAGGGTAGGGGATGATGCAGTGGCTGGTCATGGAGTGAGGGGAGCAAGGTTAGCACCTGGGTTTCTGGTTTGGGAGACCCTGAAGGTTCACAAAGAACCCCAGTCAGCCAGCCCTGACTAGTGGGCACTGGCCCACCCTCTCCATCCCCTGCACACGGGCCAGCAGCTCCCACACAGGAAGGTGTAGGCGGAGGGGAGCTGTAAAGGAGAAGTGGGGCCGGGGGCAGGTGTGGGTGAGCGTGGGTGTACGGTGATGTGGGGGTGGGGGCAGGTGTGGGTGAGCGTGGGTGTAAGGTATGGAGATGGGGGGCAGGAACCTGGAGGGGAGCCAGAGCAGGAAAAGCCTCTCTGTGGTGCAGAGGAGTGGGGACAAAGCCAGAAGACTGTGCTACAACCCTTAACCCACACCCACACCCACACCTCCCCTCCTGTTGGTGCTGCTATTACCCATTAGTGAGGGCTGCAGGGGCCTGAGTCCCAGGCTACTCACTTAGCCCTTGTGCCAGCCATGTGAGCAGACTGAGGCTTGTGGGAACCCAGGAACAGGGAACCTGTTTAAAGAGAGGGTGGCCCAGTGAGGTCAGAGGGGGCCCATCTGCCCCAGGTCTGCGTTTCACAGCAGAAGCGCTGGCTGCTCTGACCCCAGCAGAGATTCGACGAGGTTGCTCTCAGGGACAGAGAGAGTGGGAGGGCTGGAACCCACTGTCAGAGTTCCAGGGTCCCTCACCTTGGCCAGAGAGAGAGGCCAGCTGCTGAGAGCAGCAGACACAAATGAGACACCCATTCATGTGACAGAAATGTTTGCTGGGTGCTTCCTATGTGCCCGTGTTGGGCAGGTGCTGGGACAAAAGGCCTGCAGGGTTCATGTCTGTGGTGTGTGCAGGTGCCTGGCCTCACAGGAACTTTTCCACTTGGGCCTCCTAAATGGGGTTGGGGGGTGGGCTGCAGCAGGCTCCGTGTCACTGCATGGATGACACAACTGTTCAGAGGAATTCGAAATCAGACCAATGTGGGAAATGTTAGTTCACCCCTTGTGTTCTTTTTTCCCCCATAGCTCTTAAGCATATTAATTTTATTTTTTTTCTTTTGAGACAGGGTGTAGTTCTGTTGCCCAGGCTGGAATTCAGTGGCCTGATCTCGGCTCACTGCAACCTCCGCCTTCTGGGTCCAAGTGATTCTCCTGCCTCAGCCTCCAGAGTATCTGGGTCTATAGGCAAGTACCATCACGCCAGGCTACTTTTTTGTATTTTTAGTAGAGACAGGGCTTCATTGTGTTAGCCAGGATGGTCTCAATCTCCTAACCTCATGATCCACCCACCTCAGCCTCCCAAAGTGCTGGGATTACAGGCATGAGCCACTGGGCCCAGCCAAGCCTATTATTGTTAACAGCTTTAAACAAATGCCAAATGTCTCAGACTGGCCATGGTCATGATGTGGTCACATTGGAGGCCATTGTTGAAGGTAGGCAAGGACCCCCGAGCCCTACAGACTGGGAATGGGGAGCTGAGGCTCCTGGAGGCATCATCTCTTCAGCTGGGCCTGGCAGCTACCTCGTCCTTGCTCCTGTAAGCTAGGAGGAAGGTGGTGTTTGGGTCCCACTCTCAGACGGGTAGAGCTTACTTGGAGTCACACATTCATTTATCCCCCTCAGGCCACCTGGCTACGAGCAGTCCTTGGGCCCCCTGGGAAGCTTATATTCTCCATGGCCAGTGGTCCAGGCCCCAATCTGATGGTGTTTCCCATCCCTACCAAGGAGGCAGGGCTTCCTAGCAAGTGGGGGGCTCCGCAGCTTTTGCCGTCTCCTGCACTCCAGTGAACAGGGGCAGGAGCAGCCCAGCCACAGAGGGGAAGTGGTGCAGTGGGAACAAACCCAGCCTCTAAGTCCCACCGACTTGGGGTCTGTGGCCAATCTGCAATGTGACCTGGGGTGGCCCACTTCCCTCTCCAAGCCCCACCACCTGCCCCCTTTTCAGGCCTTGTGAGGCTCAGAGAGAAACAAGAGCCTGCCCCGCCCACCCTCCCAGACAGTGGCCCAGTGCCATCTGGCCAGCTGTGCTCTAGTGGGCTGGTGGGTGAGGGGGGTGCTTCTTGAGACAAAGCCCTGTTACAGTTGTCCCCCAACCCACACACACCAGGGATGCTGGGCCAGGCCTGCTGGCAGGGCTTCAGCACAAAGAAACCTTTTCCAGAAGGTTCTGCAGACTTAGCCCCTTCCCTCCAGTGTCCCCTGGGGCCAGAAGGACACAGGCAGAGTTGCTGTAAAAGGGGGTCTCACACTTGGGGGCCGAGGGAGACAATGGAGTGGAGGGCTTGAGGACAGGCAGAAGACCCAGGCAAAGATTGGTGACTGCTTCATGGAAGGGCATGCCCTGTCCTCCCCTGGCGTGAGTTCAGGGAGGAGCAGGATTGGGGTCTCCCAGGCCTCCGCCTCTGAGTTGCACTGCTCTGGCCTCATTAGGACTTTGTATTGATTTCCTGGCCATGACTGATGCCTCCCAGGTTCCAGAGGCCCACGACACTGCATCCTTTCCCATCCCCAGTGAAGGGTCATTTGTAGCACTGTCCTTGTTTGTGAAAGCTTTTTTTTTTTTTTTTGAGATGGAGTCTCGCTCTGTTGCCCAGGCTGGAGTGCAGTGGCGTGATATTACTGCAACCTTCGCCTTCAGGTGCAAGTGATTCTCCTGCCTCAGCCTCCCGAGCAGCTGGGATTACAGGCACCTACCACCACGCCAGGCTAATTTTTGCATTTTTAGTAGAGCTGGAGTTTTACCATATTGCCCAGGCTGGTCTTGAACTCCTGACCTGGAAATCTACCCACCTCGGCCTCCCAAAGTGCTGGGATTACAGACGTGAGCCACTGCACCCTGCGGAAGCTTTCAAATACAAAAGGGAAAAGGAAATCTCCACAAGGGGTGATCCTGGTGGTGTCATGAGAGGAGCTGGAGCTGGAACCCAGAGAGGCAACTTGAAGTCCTGCCGGCCCAACCCAGCCAGCAGAGCAGTCTCCACCGGAAGACCCACGACCCCATTCCCAGAACACCAAAAAGGCTGTTTCTATATGCACCCACACAAGGGGGCAAAGGTGCAGAACGGCAGTAAAGAAAGACTCTCAAGGGAAAACAGAGGCTGCCTCTGGGGACCTTGGGGAAACGCCCTTTGTCACTCACACACTTCTGTATTGTTTGCAGGCTTTTCCTGAGCAAGTGTTCTGGGTATTACTGCATAATTACAATGAAAACTGATTTTGA